TTGCCAGACAGACTCTTTTTTTCTTTGAAGATGATTGCTAGCAGGGTCTTGTTAGGCAAGCTATAAGACATCTGTGTAATTCCAGTTAAAACTTAGGTGATATATAACATTATATCAGCAAAATATGGAATTATAAATCTAGATGAAAAGAATTTTTAGCAAAAAACCAAAACAAAACAAAGAAACCCACCAAAACCAAACAAACAGATGGGGGACATAAAAACCTCTTTTGCTGTAACATATTAGCACTGCTTCCAGTATTCTGTATTTTTGATTCTATGAATACTTCACTCCATATAGCTGGATTAACCCACTGAATCTAACCACCTTTCATCCTCCTGGAGTGATTCTTATTGATAATTTCACATTCTAGACAGAACTTTTTGTTTATGAGAAAGACAATTTTTAGCAGATTTTAGGTGCTTGAAGTATATCTTAATATCTTGTTATTTGTAAAATTATCATGCCCACTATTGCAAAAGGTGAGCAAAATCAAACATCACTGAAAAGGATCCATGAAGACAAACAATTCAAAAGAAACATAAAAGCTTTCTGTGGTTAATTCCAGCATACCTTTGTAATGCTTTAAGTGGCCCAGATAAGTGACTGAATGTAAAAGGGGCAAAAAGAGGACACAGGAAGATCCCAGTACACAAATTAAGAAGACAGTAGAAGATGAAAGTGACTCTTGTACTGAGGCTATATAATCATTTGGGGTACCTTATTTACTGTCAGCAAGTCAGATGCCCTGAATGAGCCAGATGCCATCAGGGTATAAAAACATCTCATTTGTTTTCATAAATTACAGTATTTTGTGGGCAACCACAAATAAAGACTTATTACCAAGAGATACATTTTGTGTGCCAAGACTGGCACACCATCAAATACAGAGAGATAGGGAAGGAGAAGAAATGGTTCTGGTACCTACTCAAGAAATGACTGCACAGGACCTGAGTGAAAAGGAGGGTTAGAACATGCCAAGTCAGGCCAGGGAAGTCGAAGAAACATGAATCCTACAGTGGCTGGGGCACATTTAAATGTTGAGAATACAGATAGTTTTATTAACAAAAGAAGCTTGTTTATACTGACATACTTCAAAAAAATCATAGTGTTATAAAGCAGTCTAGGATGAGAGGTTCCGAAACAAAACAGCCCACAATGAAAATTAGATGAGCGTCATGATATCTCTAAATGGCTGCTACTTCTCAGCAGAAAGAATGATACACACCCGGCCGGTGAAATTCCAAGCTCTAATTAGCTCATGACAGTTTATTTACAGTAACTGCAAGTACAAGCAGTAAACTGCTTTCCACACAGCAGCTGCCCCCATGCAAAAGAGGATAATATGATTTCACTACAGTAACTTGGATCTCTGTTTGGCACTTTCTAAGATATCTCACAAATGCAACTTCAGTTCCTAGTCAAATAGAAGATATATATTTACTACAACAAAATGATGTTTTGCAGATTAAAAAGGCAGTCCCTCATCTTTTGGTACTTTACACAGTTGGAACCTAGTCCGATCTCTCTTGGGTTGTTATAGACCCAACAGACACTCTGACTCTAATAAATAAAATTCAGGATTCTGAGAGCTACTTTTTGTTTCTTTGTTGGTAATACTGCACACACTTATTTCCGAAGCTCCAAAATTCAACAGGTTTATCAACTGCTGGTCAGATAATTAAACATTTTGTGTAGCACTTCCCAAGTTTACTAGAGCTATTGTTGCAATACATTAGTAATATGACTAAAAATATCCCAAAAATGGAACTACCACAAAAATATCACCAGCGTTTCTCAAGAGAATTAAAAATGTCTCCTACTATATTTTCTTTCTTTATCAATTTTTTCTATTCCTCAGTCTCATATTTATCTTCGAACCCATTCGCTTGCCCAGCCTATTTAATTGATGAGTTCTTTTACTTCTGTTCACATTTCTTGCTCCCTCAAACTCATTACCATCAAAACTCTCTGCAGTTTTTGAGATGGCATTTTTCTTCTTGCGTTTCTTGACTTTCCTCTGATTTAAATGTAATGTGTTGTCTAAAACTCCTACCTACATTTTCTCTAAAGCTTTGGATCCTCACTAATTCTGTTTTTTCTTTTAATTCCACTGAAATTTCTCTAACATTTTCCCACAATCTTTGTTTTACCAGCTTTGTTTTACTTTTGACTCCTCTTGAACAGACTCTCAACAAATTAATTCCTTTGATTTTTTTGCTCTCTAGATTATTTTTTATCTCTCTTTATCCCTCTACTCAGGGCTGCTCTCAACCCATTCTCTGCCCAGCCTGTATTTGTGTTTTGGATTGCCCTGACCCACCTGCAGGACCTTGCATTTGACCTTTTTGGATTTCATGAGGTTCACAAAGACCCACCTATCAAGCCTGTCAAGGTCTCTCTGGATGACAGCCCTTCTCTATAGCATGTCAGCTGCACCACACAGCTTAATGTCATTGGCAAACTAGCTGAGGGTGCACTCAGTTCCCCTGTCCACATCACTGACAAAGATGTTTCCAGGAGGATCTGCTCCATGATCTTGCCAGGCACAGAGATAACACTGACTAGCCTACATTTCCCCAGGTCTTCTTCTTTTTTCCCTTTATAAAAATAGAGGTTCTGTTTCTCCTTTTTCTGTCAGTAGGAACTTCACTGGACTGCCACATTTTCTCAAATATGATGGATAGTGGCTTAGCCACTACATCCACCAGTTCCCTCAAGATCCCCAGATGCATCTCAGCAGATCCCATGGACTTGTGTACTTTCAAGTGCCTTAGATGGCCTTGAATCTGATCTTCTTCTACAGCACGAGGTTCTCATTCTCCCAGTCTCTGCTTTGACTTCTGCATCTAGAGCAATGTGGCTGGAGCACTCGCCAATGTTGACTAAGGCAAAATAGTTGTTGAGTACCTCAGCCTTCTCCATGCCCCAGGTACTCAGGTCTCCCATTTCCTTCTGGAGAAGGACCAAATTTTCCCTAGTCTTTCTTTTATCACCAGTGTACTTATAGAAGCTTTTCTTATTGTCCTCCATGGCCCTGGCCACATTTAATGCTCAGACAATTTCTATGTACACCTCAGGGGCTATCTGTTCTTGCTTCCACCCTCTGGGGTTTTTTTTGTTAATTGTTTTTCCTTCATCTTCTGTTTTTCACTAGATTTGAACAGCCCTTTACCTTGCCTGCTTCCCTTTCTCCTTTTTAGACGATAATATAAATTCCATTTCTCCTTTTTAAATGATAATATACTGCAGTTCCCATCTATGGACAGAGGGCTCAAACAAACTCCTTTCATCTAACCCCACTCTTAGTGTCCACTAACATAAACTAAGCACAAACAAAATTGAACTCTCGCGCTTTTCTCCCCAGATCTCTTTTCTTCACACTTTTTCAGTATGAGTGTTTTCCCTCTGGTAATCTACATCAGCTGTGACATCTACAGCTTTCACTAGCTTTTTGAGAGCATCGCTAAGATTTGACATTTTTCTACAGGTCATATAGTGCAAGCTCTTAGATGATTTTCGTTGTTTCCAATGGCATTCCTCTTCAGTCAACACTTGCCTCTCTGCACACAGATGTATAAGGAAAGGCAGAAAATGAATGATTTCTCTATATCCTTGTACACTTGCATGTAGCTTCATCATTTTTGTACTACTTCCAACCAGATCAAATTTTTGATGGCATAACTGACTCTCCTCAATTATCTACACTTTTTATATTGTCATTTGATTAATCCCATGCTTATAAAACCAATGTTGGCACTAGATCTGCTTTTCGGTGATGTCTCCCTTCCATGTTGACTCATATAGAGACATGCCCCTTTTGACTTGTCCTGGTAGTCTATTCGCACTTCTTCCTTCATTAAGTCCCACTTCTATCTCAATACCTAAAGCAAAACAGCCAATAAATCAAATGGATAGAGGACCACTTCTATGTTATAACTTTTGATAAAGGCAGGCAAGCATCCTCCTCCCTAACTCACCATTTCTTGGCCCCTTTAGATTAATAGTATTTACACTCAGGAACTGCTAGTGTTTCTGAACAATGCCTTATATATCTTCATACTATAGTACCATAACTGAACCAGAGAATTACAGCTTCTGTTATTTTTTTTTAAAGGAACTTTAACAAAAAGAAGTCAAAAGTAGTATTTCACAGTTAGTCAGATAACTATTAGGAAGGATGTAAACATCAAGCATTTCTTCCTTTGCTCTGCTTGGTATAAACCTAAAAAATCATGTCACTTGTTTGAAAATCTCATCAAGGCTCTTCACTATATGAACTACATAGGATTATCATTGCTGTCAATGTAGCTGCAGTATACAGACTTCAGCAGTATGATAGTACCACAAAACATGCTGAGCCAATTCATCCATTACAGTCAATGGTGTTACAGTAGGGATTATTTTGTTCCTCCTGCTTTGTAATATAGTTTTATGCTGTAGAAAACCAATTTAATTCATGCCACTTAATGGACGGTTTAAACAGAGTGCTATTTTGCCTCTTAGGAATCATTTCCCTGAGATAAAAGCAAATTATTGCATTTTACTTATATTCAAATAACACAGGATTGTATATTAATCACACACCCATGGCATTCTATGTGAAATACACATCTACTGCTGGGATGTTAATTAAAACCAGTCTTAGTTACATAGGAAATACTTTTTCTAAAATATATTTTCAATCAATAAAATTTTACCTGGGCCCAGTTCTGTTAGGTCCTGAGCAACTTAGCACCAAGAGAAGATTGGTTTTATTGCTTGATGGGATCAGACATGATGAGATTAAATATCCAGCAAATAGATTATGTATATTGTGAGTTTATATTACTGATCAATTTTGTCCATTGCTTTGTGAAAAACTGAAGATTCACTTGTTGGCAGTAAAGACTAGGAATGGCATCTTCAGTCAGAAGAAAATGCTCGAGATGGATGTGTTTGTCTTGTGCTGAAAAAGTGCCTCTCGTGAAGAAAGCTCTTTTAAAGCAAGCATTACTCACCGAGTCTTTTTCCAATCGCTTCTGTAGCCTTGTTTGCCACTGGACAGCTTGCATGACAATAGCTTCCCACCTTCTCTCGAGGTTTACAATTATCAACTGCATGGACTGGTGATCTGCATTTAGGTTGCAGGTCTCCTGATCATCCAGGAGGTGCTGGCATAATCGCAGCACAGAGGCTACCCCACGACGTCTCTGTTTGATCTCACAGCATAAAGACTGCAGGATAGACAAACAACAGATGTCAGGGTGGAATTCTTTGCAAATTCAAACGTTAAGTATTATCTGATGTTTAATGGTGCCCAATCTCTGTCTTACAATACTTTTTTCAGCTCTTCCATAAATTCCCATACTTTCGTGTCAAAGCTTAGTGTTTTATTCTCAGATAAATACAGTCTTAATACCACATAAGGAGTAACGTTGTGTTCAGTCTTCTTCAAACAAATGCCATATATAACTAACTGTCTCGATAATGCTGAAGGTTTAATGATGTAAACTGGTTTATTCTTCATTTCTTTTTCATTCAATTGGGACACATCTGAAACGAGTTACCTTGACAGTAATCAATTTCAGAAATTCTACAGAGTGAAAAAATCATAGTCATGCAATGTGAATATGTGTATTTTTAGAAAAAAAACAACAGAAATTATGGGTCCTATGCAGCCTGTCACAGGAGAAAGATTAAGAGAGGAGAAAATTCAGTATAGAATTTTTTACAGATTTTTTTGTTATCATAAAATATTTCCAGGGTAGTTTCATATTCAAGTAAATGTAGGAATAATGTGATAACTGTATCATCCTTGAAGATGAGTAATTCACTGTATTTATTTCGTCATACTGATTCCAGTGCTACTGAGAATGCAGTCTGACATAAACTGGTTGATGGGAGACAATTGCTAAGTCCTAATATTGAAACGATGTGAGCCAGGATCTGTTGCTTCTACTCCAGAAACCCAAGAAACCTCACTGAGAATATTATTGAGCAGCAGTAAAAATTATGCATCCTACACAGCAGACAGAACTAGAGAGACATGTACCACCCGGAAGCAGTTAATGGCATGGGGAACTTCCAAGCATGGTTTTATCCATGACTATACTCTAATGTCATTCAACATCAAATCACAATTTAATTATCTCATAATGTATTTTAATAATAAAATCTATGAAGCTTGGGTATAGAAGGCACAAATACATCCAAGGATTATGGCTTCTGCCCACTTTCTGAGACCCTATACTTTTATAGCATTGCATGACTCCAGTATTGAACTATTATCAAAGGGTTGTGCTACTCCTGAATTTAACAGGACTGTGCTCTACACGTGGGAGCTTTCCAGATAATTTAAATTGTAACTTGCCAACATCTGTTTCCCTCTGTGGGATGCCACAGATGAAAGTACATGACCCCATGAGAAAATCTGAACTATCATCTTTTCTGAAGGCAGGGTGTTTGCCTCTAAACTTCCAGTTAATGATAATAAGCAAACGAAAAAAGCCACTACATCTCTCAAAGCTGTTCACAAGCATCAAATGATAAAAAATCAGGACCTACCTTCCTGAATTTTATTAGCAAAACAACATTCTATAGAAAGTGAATTCAAGTTCCAGATTTTCATGTCATTGTTTCTTTAGAAAATGGAATTTATACTTAGAAATGTTGTAACTCAAAGGAGTATTTTGCTGCTGTGTTTGATCAATAATATTAAGCTGCAAGTCTGAAGCAAAACATTGGTATGCACATCTAAAAACATATGCCTTTTCTTTGCCTATGGATAGTGTGCAAAAGACTTTTTTTTTTAAAAGCCTTCAAGAGAAATGATGATTACACCCACAAACACAGCTGAATACTAGTCTATTTTCACTGGCACAACTGGGCCATCCTAGCAGTTAACAGATTGCTTATTAATCAACAAGGGTAAACAAGGAAATGAAATCTCATTTAAAGCCGAAGTTTTAATTCCTAAAAGTATTTCTGTTCAAAGCATTATTCCCGATAAGCCTTCATTAGAAGACATCTTAAAATGATTAAGTACATTTGATTGTAAAGTAAACTGAGTAGTATATTAGCAGGTGGACATTTCATACAGATGTTCCACTTACTGATATAATGCATTCTATAGCTATTTAAATTACCCTAACTCTATAATAGCTAGAAGTCTATTACTTCTATAATAAGAGAACCCTGTATCTTTAATATTTCTGAATTTTAAATAAGGTGAATGACGAATTCCCAAACCTCTATTTATGACAAAATATGACCAGGAATTTTATTATTCGATTTATACCAGAGCTGCATTTTCACTAACGTTTCCTGAACTTGCCCTTATTTATTTTCCTAGAGTTCATTGCTAGTTTCCTTCATAGTTCTTGATGTAACCACCACATCTGGCACGTTTCCTTTTTAATGCTGTTTATTAGCCTAATGTCACATCAGAAAAAAATCCAAACAAAACCAAACCAAAAAATCTACCTAAAGTCAGGGTTCTTATTTTACATTTTATAACAGCTAGGCAATTCAGTTTTTTGGAAGTGATGGTATGTTATTTACCTATGCATATCTATGTAGGTCTGCATTAACTTCATAGAAGTCAATACAGCTCAGAATCTGGCCCCAAAACTTGCCTTGATCTATCTGATTAAGTCATCCCTTACAAATATTGTTCTTTTTTACAATGCCATTTAATATGATGAGGTAAGGAGAATTGCACTCATAATTGCACTTATACGGGAGTTTAAGTGAGGCCTTTACATTGTGTTATCTGAAAGCAGAGCTACAGTATCCAAGTAATTTCTAATTTATATCAATTTTACACCACCGTAATAACAGTAGCTTTACTGAAGTTATTTCTGATTTACATGGCTGTGACAGTACAATTAGGCCTATGGCACTTTTGTTTCAATTTTATTACATGATATTATGGTTAATATTAAACAGGAGAAAAACGAAGTGCTAGTATCTAACAGTGCGGTGAAAGAGTTGGTTATAGCAACAATACTTTAAAAGCCAGAGGACTTAATCATGTAAAGATATCTTTAAGACCTATATAATAGCACTAGCAATAATTAATTTAAGCAGTAGTGGGGTCTTGTGTTCAGTGTCCTAAAGGAACACAATAATTGCCTATATCCTATGACATGATATATCACAGTATATCATGGTATATCCATCCATGTTTTGCTGTTGTTAAAATGGCATGCTTGTATATAAACCTGTCAATATGGCAATTGCACATGCAAAGTATGCTTCCAGGACCAGAGTTACTTTAATTATTTGCAAGGTACATTGTGCACTGTCCACAGCTGCTGCTATAGTAAGCTACTGGGCACTTGAAGGTTCAGAAAATCAGGTAAGGATCTAACAGTAGACTTAGGAGCATCACTTAGGCTCACTCAGTTTCCTGTGTATGCAAAAGATTTGCTGAAAAATAGATTAAGAGATCAGACACTTTCAGTTGTGTCTCCTCATACTGTCATGTGTCCACTGAGCTGTGGTAAGTGTAAACACAATCCAAGTCTTTGCAAATGTGAGTGAAACATTCACTTAAACCATTTGCAGTGAGACTTAAATAAATGTATTTGACTTTTTTGCTGCAGGCTAAGAGTATACACAGTAACTGCAGATGCTGTGTATGAACTTGACTTTGCGTCTGAGTCATTTGCTTCACAACAGACACTCTGATAACATTGAGGTGTTAGTCATCATAATGTTATTATGGTCATGGCTTCCCATACAGAGGATTCCTGTCCATGCTGCTAGAATCTTGGAAGATTTTTCTTCCCTCTGCCTACTCCTATTTTCAGTGCTTTGAAGTGATCACCCGCATAGCTAAAAAGGGCTAGCTGAAACTACTTTCGCAGCTTGTTAATACCACGCCTTAAATCATCTGGAAAAGCCCCTGCTGGGTCAAATGACATCAAACACGCTTTCCAAGCCATAGGCTAATGGCACTATCTATGGGAATGGAAGTGGCCGTGATCTGAACAGAAGGTGCTTGGCATAGCTGCATGACTCCTAAGTGAATGGCATATGACAGAAACATTTCTGCAGCTTTAGGCAGTGCCAGAGCATACGAGAGGCAGAGGAAGGTGGGAAGTTGAGGAATATTAGATCACCTCAAGCTCCAATCTGCCTCCATCCCTCAGCCTTCCTGCATCATATCAGCGCCTGAGTTGTGCTGCACTGCCTGCTCTGCACAGCTGAAGATTTATGGGAAGTCTGCTTTCTCACACAACATGGAAGATGAGTTGGCCACTGAAGCACTTACATCAAGGATCTTGAGCAGGTGTTTAACATTAACTATTTAAAAGTACAAAATTAGTTTAGTTCCCTTAAATCCACATGATCCACATCTTCACCACATAACATGTTGAGATGTGGGGTTTTGTAGCCTCATTTATTACATATTGTTTGGAGAACTCATTTTTATGGGATCTGAAGTTTCTTGCTTTCACTCTACAATTGGGAATAATAAACAGAATCACAGAATCACAGAATATGCTAAGTTGGAAGGGACCCACAAGGATCATTGAGTCCAACTCTTGGGCCCTCACTGTACCATCCCCAAGAGTCACACCATGTGCCTGATAGTATCATCCAAACGCTTCTTGAACTCTGTCAGGTTTGGTGCTGTGACCACTTCCCTAGGGAGCCCATTCCAGTGCCCAGCCACCCTCTGGGTGAAGAGCCTTTTTCTAATATCCAACCTAAACCTCCCCTGACACAACTTTAGGCCATTCTCTCAGGTCCTGTCACCAGAGGTCACCAGAGAGGAGATCAGTGCCTGACCCTCTTCTTCCTCTGAGGAGGAAGTTGTAGACTGGGATTAGGTCTCCCCTCAGTCTCCTCTTCTCCAGGCTGAACAGACCAAGTGACCTCAGCCACTCCTCATACGACTTCCCCTCAAGGCCCTTCACCCTCTTCGTTGCTCACTTTGGACACTCTCTAATAGCTTAATATCTTTCTTATATTGCAGTGCCCAAAACTGCACAAAATATTCAAAGTGAGGCTGCACTAGTGCAGAACAGAGCAGGACAATCACGTTCCTCATCCAACTGGTGATGCTTTGCCTGATGCACCCCATTCATGAAGAGATACTCAGAGCTTTGAAAATAGTTGGATGATGACAAATGGTAAGAACACAAATGGATTTCCTTTGTGCTTTCAGATCCAGAAGAAATGCCAAAGTATATTGAGACATTTCTGGGCTTACCTTTTGTTCCTG